AGCATTCACTATCATATAGGAAGACAGATATAACGTAAGAGTTCAGTATTTTTTCATTGTTTCTAATGAAATTTTTCTGTCTCTTAATACTCTGCTTAGCTTTTGGAACGCATTTTTCTCTATTCCAATGCATATTCAGATTTTAGTGTCGCACATTACGCCCTCTGTTAGAACATTTCCCAAAAAGTTAAATTTCTGTATTTGTTTGATTTTAGTATCTCCAATTTGTAATTTGCATTTTGCTAACAACCAGGCATTCTGTCTTCCCGCAGTTTGTGTTTAGTCCTTTCTTCTCGATTTCCTTCACTACCTTCTCTTGGATCTTTTATAGTTTCCTTTCCGTGTCTGCTATCAACACTGGGTCATCTGTCTATTTTATGTTATTAATATTGTGGTCGCCAATAATGAATCCTGGTAGGACATCTAATTCTCTTAGAATTGCCTCGCTGTATAGGTTGAATAAGTCCGGTGAGAAGACACATCCTTGTCTTATGCCCCTTTATATTTTTGTATATCTGCTGAACTCATTTTCTATCCGTATGCAGGCGGTTTGCTGCCAGTATAGGTTCTTGATTATTCTAATATTTTCCGCAAATATGTCAAGGTTGCTGAGCAGTTTCAACAAATCTTTATTTTCTTAAGTGTACATATTTAGGGGGAAATTGGGTGTCGACTTGTACACGGGTAACTGCTTTTGACACAGTAAGAACGGCAGAGAGAAATTTAATTTCAAGCATTGAAATATTCACCAATTAAAAAAACAAGGATATAGTTGAGTGACTATTCCTAATTAAAATAACTGAATGGAAACATCGAATCTATTTTTGAACACTTGGCGCATGAGTCTTCAAATGATCTTTGATAAGTAAATAGATTTAATCTGATGCTTTATTGCTCGCAACTTCAATCTCCATGACACACGGATTTTATTTTGCGACTGATCTGTGCACATGGAATAATATGAATTAATTACATATTTGTTTGTAAAGGAGAAATATGATCGACTTATAGACGAGTGAATGCAGTATTTCTTGTTTTACTTTCTTCCAAATGTTTTCACCTTATTTACATCTGTTATACTGTATATCACTTACAACTCTTTCTTGTTCTCTCCCACGGGCTTTAACTTATGTTAGTGGTTAGCGAATATTATCTGGTTGACCCCATTGGCAATGTATTCGAGCATCACTTTGTACCTCCATCCAAATATTCAACATTAAATAAGACAACATAGGTTAAAATGTACAATCACCTAAGCCATCTTCTTTGTAATTATCTCTCTTTCACCGAAGATTTATTTCATTTTTCTCTTTATGTAGCAATTCGATTGTAGGATTTCTTTCATACGCTACTAGTTGTGAATTCGGTTTTCACTGTGTACCCTACAGGTGTGGTTTTCTGATAAGTTGAATGAAGCTTAGCTAATATCTTGGCACATGCCTTAGAATGACGGGAAATGAATTCAAGCCTTTCTCGGAACATTCCGTTATATGGCCTTGAGATAGACAGTGTTTTTGTAAATATTTACTTTCTAGGCGTTTTCTTTTTTTTCCTTCTTTTTTCATTTCTCTCTGTATGTTTCGTGTTTTTAAAGTTTATTTTTCTTTATTTTCTATTTTTATTTTTCATAGCTATCGGTTTGTTTCTTGCTTGCAGATTTCCTTTTACTTTATTGCCCCCCACTTTTTTTTTTATTTTTCTTGTATCAATGAGCTCCACTTATTTCTTCTTTTTTAGATATCGTTTTTCATTATTTCTCTTCTTTTCCCCCCCTCTTCGCTTGATTCATGTTTTCAGATTTGTTTTGTCTTCATTTCTTCTTATTTTTTTTCTTTTTCCATTGCACTTCGCTTGTTTGTTTTCCGATTCTTTTTCATTCCCTTTTTTCTTTTACTTTTTATTTCTCTCAGTTTGTTTCTTATCTTTAGATTTCTTTTTTTCTTAATTCCTCCCCCACTTTTTTTCTTTTTCATTGCTCTCGTTCCTAGTGTTCAGATTTCTTTTTTCTTTATTCTACGCGTTTCTTTCTTTTGTTTTTCTTTTCTTTTCGCATGATTCTTTTTTTTTTATTCTTTATTACATGTTTTTTTCATCTTTTTCGTTTCTCTTCGCTCTTTTTTTTTTAGTTTTCTTATTTTTATTTCTCCCCCTTCTTTCTTTTTCTTTTTTCATTGCTCTCCTCCGCTTTCTTTCTTTTTCAGGTTTTCATTTTGCTTTATTCCTCCCCTTTTTTTCTTCTTTATTTTCATCGCTCGTTTCTAGTTTCGGATTTCATTTTCTTTATTTCTCTTTTCTTTTTTCTTCTTGTTTTTTTCTTTTTCGTTACTCTCCGCATGTTTCTTGTTTACAGGGTTTTTTTCTTTACTCCTCCTCTTTTTTATTTTCTTTTTTTCATTGCTCTTCGCTTTTTTCAAGTTTTCTTATTTCTTTTTTCTTTATTTCTACCGTTTTTTTATTTTTATTTTTCATTGCTCTCCGCTAGTTTTTTTTCTTTTTATCATCCTTTTCTCCTTCTTTTTCATCCCCTTTTTTCTTCTTTTCCATCTTTTTCTTCATTTTCACCTTTTTTTATTCATCCCCTTTTCTTCTTTTCCATTCCCTTTTCATTTTCTTCTTTTTCATCACCATTTTATCTTCTTTTTCATGTTTTTTTTCTTTCTTTCATTTCTCTTAGATTGTTTCTATTTTTAAAATTTCTTTTTTCTTCATTTCTCCATTTTCTTTCTTTTTCATTTTTCATTTCACTTATTTCTTGTTTACAAATAATTTTTTCTTTATTGAACTCCACTTGCATTCAAACTTCTTGTAATCAAACTTTTTTTCTTCATTTCTCCATGTGCTTTTTCTTTTCTTTTTTCAAATATGGAAACAAGAAACAAGTGGAGAGCGCTTCCAGATTTCTTTTTATTTTATTCCTCCCCCTTCTTTTTATTTCTTCATTGCACTCAGCATGCTTCTCGTTTTCAGGTTTCTTTTATTCTCTCCTTTATTTATTTTTCTTTTTACGTTTCTTTCCTTTCTGCTTCTTTCTTGTTTTCAGATATTTTTTCTTAACTTCTCACCTATTTTTTATTTATTTTTTCATTTCTCTCCGTTCGTTTGTTGTTTACACATTTCTTATTTGTTATTTATTTCTTTTTCCTTTCTTTTTCTTTCTTTTTTTTTCAATGCTTTCTGATTCTTTCTTGTTTTCAGATTTCTTTTTTCTTTATTTCTACTCTTTCTTTTTCATTTTTTCTTTTATCTCCGCTTCTTTCTTAAGCTAAGATTTATTTTCTTTAGTTCTCCGCGTTTTTTCTTTTTCTTTTTTCATTACTCTCCTCCTCACCTTCCCCTTCTTTCTTTCTTTTTCGGTTTTCTTTTTTTTTTCATTATTCCTTCCTTTTTTTCTTCTTTTTCTCACTGCTCCTTTCTAGTTTTCAGATTTCATTTTCTTTATTTCTCTCCGTTTTTCTTTTCCTTTTTTCTTTTTTCATTACTTTCTTTTTTTTCTTTAATCCTCCCCATTGTTATCTTCTTCTTTTTTTCATTGCTCTCCACTTTTTTCAAGTTTTCATATTTCTTTTTTGTATTATTTCTCCACTTTTTTTCTATTTTTTTTTTTTTCATTACACTCCGTTAGTTTATTGTTTTCAGGTTTCTTTTTTCTTCATTCGTCCCCTTTTTTCTTCTTTTTCATCCTTTTTTCTTTTTACTTCTATTTTATCCACATTTTCTCTTTTTTCATTCTCCTTTTTCTTCTTCCTTTTCAATCCCTTTTTCTATTTCATCCCGTTTTTCATGTTCTTTTTCATCCTGCTTTTTCATCCCCTTTTCTTTTTCTTTTGTTCATTTTTTTTTTGTTTCTTTATCATCCCTTTTTTTTTATTTTATTTTCTTTATTCTTTTTCATCTCCTTTCCATCCTCTTTTTTCTTTTCCTTTATTCATCCCATTTTTCTTCTTTTCTTCATTGTTCTTAGATTGTTGCTATCTTTAAGATTTCTTTTTTCTTCATTTCTCCATTTTCTTTCTTTTTCATTTTTCATTTCAATCCACTTATTTCTTGTTTTCAAATTATTATTTTTTTTCTTTATTTCATTTCTTTATTGAACTCCACTTGCATTCAGACTTCTTGTAATCAAACTTTTTTTTCTTCATTTCTCCATGTGCTTTTTTTTCTTTTTTCAAATATAGAAACAAGAAACAAATGGAGAGCGCTTTTTTCTTGTTTCCAGATTTCTTTTTACTTTATTCCTCGCCTTTCTTTTTATTTCTTCATTGCACTCAGCATGCTTCTCGTTTTCAGGTTTCTTTTATTCTCTCCTTTATTTATTTTTCTTTTTACGTTTCCTTCCTTTCTGCTTCTTTCTTGTTTTCAGATATTTTTCATTTCTACTCTTTCTTTTTCATTTTTCTTTTATCTCCGCTTCTTTCTTATGTTAAGATTTATTTTCTTTAGTTCTCGTTGTTCTTTCTATTTCTTTTTTCATAACTCTCTTTTCTTTTTACTTCTGTTTTATCCACATTTTCTTCTTTTTCATCCTCCTTTTTCTTCTTCCTTTTCATCCCCTTTTCCCTTTTTCTATTTCATCCCGTTTTTCATGTTCTTTTTCATCCTCCTTTTTCATCTCTTTTCCATCCTCCTTTTTCATCTCTTTTCCATTTCCTTTTCTTTTTCTTTGTTCATTCCCTTTTTTATTCTTCTTTATTCTTTTTCATCTCCTTTCCATCCTCTTTTTTCTTTTCCTTTATTCATCCCATTTTTCTTCTTTTCTTCATTGCTCCTAGATTTTTTCTATCTTTAAGATTTCTTTTTTCTTCATTTCTCCATTTTCCTTCTTTATCATTTTTCATTTTACTCCACATATTTCTTGTTTTCAAATTATTATTTTTTCTTTATTTCATTTAACTTCTCACATATTTTTTATTTAATTTTTTTCATTTCTCTCTGTTCATTTGTTGTTTATAGATTTCTTATTTGTTATTTCTCCCGTTTCTTTCTTTTTCTTTTTTTTTTCAATGCTTTCTGATTCTTTCTTCCTTTCAGATTTCTTTTTTCTTTATTTCTACTCTTTCTTTTTCATTTTTTTCTTTTATCTCCGCTTCTTTCTTATGTTAAGTTTTATTTTCTTTAGTTCCCCTCATTTTTTTCTATTTCTTTTTTCATTACTCTCCTTCTCACCCTCCTCTTCTTTCTTTCATTTCATTTCTCCTCGATGGTTTCTTCTTTTCAGATCTCCTTTTTCTTTATATCTCTACTTTCTTCCTCCCTCCCCTCCACCTCTTCTTTCATTCATTCTTGCTTTTCGTCTACTTTCACCTAATTCTTTTTACTGTATTCCTTCGGCGTCTCCTTTACTTTCATACCTTTATATCCCTACATTTTCTTTCATTTCCTCACCTTCCTGTTCTCCAGGTAATCTTGTCTTCCTCTTTACCTGTCTTTTTACTCCTTTATTTAATTCTTTTCCTTCTCACCAAACAAGGTAGGGGCCATCTCGTTTCACCATTCGTAGGAATACTTTCTCTCCACCTTCACTATTTTTGGCAAACTCGCACGACTTGAATGGCTGCCATGAAGCAATCCATACTGCCATTTCTTCAGGCTGGACAATAACCGGACGAAATCAGCTTAGGCATCAGTGACAAGATGGCAGGAGTGCGCCAGGAGACGGTCAGCCAACAATACAGCCATAAAAACGACCGGTTCACTCACCGGGCCGCGGGAGGATGGCAAAGGGCCCGATGGTTTTGCCCCATAGTTCCGGCGTGAGAGGTTGGTGGGTGATGCATGCCAAGGACCTATTTACTTTGGCTTCCGCATGGCTGAGGCCACCACAGGAGATATTCCCCTGATATGAGACAGTAGATCTTAACTGATATGGAGAAACGCAGTCTTCATAAAAGTCATACCATAAAAAGAGTAGAGTCCAGTTGAGCGCTCATCTCTTTGGAGTTTCTCTTGCGAACAGCCGATATTTTTGTCACACCCGTTTTAATCCCAGTCGGACAGTTTGCTTGCTTACACGTCTACCTATCGATTATATAGGACGAGTGAAGAATACAAAAGAAGGAAGAGAAACATTCACCACTGTCGATATATATTGTAACATTGTTTCGTGTCATTTGTCCTTGTAAATGTTTATCTCTGTATGTCGCTCAGTTATCTCTTCCGTCTCCCCACTCTCTCTCTCTCAATCTATCTATCTATCTATTTTTGTCTGTTCATATCTATCTATCTATCTATCATATATGTGTGTATGTATGTATGCATATATATATATATATATATATATATATATATATATATATATATATATATATATATGTGTGTGTGCATGTTCGTGTGTGTGTCAATGTTCATATCTATGTTAGTCTGATAATATCTATGACAAGGGCCTGAAAATCTTTCGGTCGGACACACCTATCTATCTATCTATCTATCTATCTATCTATCTATCTATCTATCTATCTATCTCTGTCTGTTCATATCTATGTATCTATCTATCTATACACACACACACACACACATATATATATATATATGCATATGCATATATATATATATATATATATATATATATATATATATATATATTTACGTGTGTGTGTGTGCGTGTGTCTCTGTGTCAATGTTCATATCTATGTCAGTCTGATAATATCTATGACAAGGGCAAGGGGCTGAAAATCTTTTGGTCGAACACACTTCCCAAATAATTGCTCAAACATCAGAAGTTATTTTAGAATCCCTTCTTGATCGAAGTGAGAACTTTCCAGTTTTCTCTTCATATATCCACCTTATCCTCATAATCTTCATTTCATTTTGCCTCCTTTTACTTACATATCACAGACTTCTTTCAGCAAACCACTAACATGAGTGGCTCTTGAGCCTTGTATTGTATGAATTTCAGTATGAAAATATCTGCCTATTTGTCTGTCTTATTGTCTATCTATTTGGCTGGTTGTTTCCTCTCTCTCTCTCCTCTCTCTCTCTCTCTCTCTATCTCTCTCTCTCTCTTTCTCTCTCTTTATATATCTATCTATCTGCATCTATTTATTTTTCTATCTATCTGACTTTACATCTATCTCTCTATACCTAGGTACCTCCATTAATTCTGTATAAATTTTCGATACCTAAGGTTTAAAATGAATTTTTACAAATGAAATAGCATTCTTGAAGATTTCATTTTAGATTTAATAGAAAGCTAAATAATTAAATTTAGTATTTACAGTAAATGAAATATACTGGTATATTTAAAATAGAAAATATATAGAACCTAATGTCAACTTTTTGGCCTATTTCCGAAAATTTTCTTAAATCGTCATTTTCTTAATTTTAAGAAATTTGTAAACAAAACAAAATTATCGGTTTTAAAAATTTTCCAAACATAAAATATATATGTTATTTGAGTAAAGTGACATGTTATTTGAGTAAAATTAGCGAATTTAATGTTAAATTAATCTGATTTGAAATAAACATTACTTACTTATAACATAAAAAAATAATAAACAAGTATTTCTTAATGACGGTTCCTGTTTTTCTTCCATATTTATTGATGTATCGATAAGTTCCGAGGTTATAACAGCTAGCATGGTTGAGCAGAATCGACATAAATTTAGGAAATCTAAGTGAACGCATTTTTTTGGTTTAACTACCGAGTAATTTTTATAAATTAACACATTTTCAACAATTATCTAATATTTTATTGACTTTTAGTTACATCTTATATTTTTACCATGACTTTAAAAAAAAACATATTTATAATACTTTCCATCATTTGTGAATAGTTTCTGAAAGTTTCGTTAAAATCCAACGATTATTTTTATTTTTGCAAGATTTCCCCAATTAATGTCTGTCATTAAAAAAATACACTAAAATTTGCTATATTAGTTAATAGTACCCCTGGACGCAAAGAGAAACAAGAGTTATTAATCAAAAGTTAGAATGTTCTAAAAAGAATGGAAATTTTTTTAAAATTAATTAAAAAATACTTTGCTCTTTCTAGTACCATAAAACATTTGTCGATAAAATTTTAAGGCCGTTTTTATCATGCTATGCTCATTTTCCAGCGATCTCATGGCAGTCTCTATCTATATCAGTATAATCGCATCTCAGTCTACTGATATTTACCTACTCTCAGGTGCCTAATAAAAGATAAGAGACGTAATAAATGGAAAGGAATTAGAAAATCTAATAAATGTCTAACATGGGCTCGATAAATGTGGTAGATAAGAAATGATTAAAACTAAGTCTTCCAAACTATAACAAGACCTCGGAAAAAATAAATGTTAATGATCATGGTATTATAAACCGTTTCCCTTTTTACGCTTTTCTTCACTTCGTGGTCCTCAGGATGGATCAAAGTATAGTATCTGTTCTCTTTATCTCTAATGGTATAAATATTAGTCGTTTCCTTATAAAGAAAAATTCAGCATTCATGGACCGAACACTCAGAACTACTATCAGTTGAAACATGAAATCTTTCTCTTAAAATGTTTATTCAGGAAAATTGGTTTCCCAACCCCAGCAACTGTTATTTTCCACTACTGATGGAGGTTTCCTTCCTAACTTGGAAAAGCGTGGAAGTTTTATATTTATATATATATATATATATATATATATATATATATATATATATATATATATATATAACCCGGATATAAAGAGTTGTCGGGACCGAAGAAGAAGTCTCTTATATCCGGGTTTTCTTATATCCGGGTTTGGTCTATTTTATATACATTAACACAGGCTCTAATTTGGGACCAGAGAAAATCTCTTATATCCGGGTTTCTCTTATATCCGGGTCTCTTATATCAGGTTACACTATATATATATATATATATATATATATATATATATATATATATATATATATATATATATATGTGTGTGTGTGTGTGTGTGTGTGTATGTGATAACGATATATAAACTTTTATATCTCAAGAGTAATTTTGGAGGAAAGATGTATGACAATGTTCGTCGCATTCAATTTAAAAGTGGGCAGAATACAAAAGCAGAGCAATATTCTTTATTTTAGGATATTACTATGTAATATGTAACTATTTCCATTTTTTTTCTTTCTTACTATAGTTCCTTTTCTTCCTTTACTCGTGAAAAGAGGCTGTAACTTCTTTCTTTCTTATTTTTCTTTTTCCCTTTTCTCATAAAAATAAGTTGTATCGTTTGTTAAATTTCCAATCAATTATCCAACTCACCAGATGAGATGTGTTAATACACATCGAAACATGAGTTCCTTTGTGTAGCGTTTTTACATGTTTTGTTGCAATAGCTTAAATAACATACACACATATATATATATATATATATATATATATATATATATACACACACACACATATATAAATAACAGCCCAACAAATACAAATCAATATTCATACCACCCAAAATAATGTCTATCTTTGTCGCCATATTTGTTACAACGCTTCGGCCGTTGTACGCTCCGGCCTTCTACAGGTGGTTGGAATGTCGAACTGAACCCTTTATTTCGCTCACTGGGGTAGACTGTTCTCGTTCCACGTATGTAAGTTATCTCCTGTTAATTCCCCTCTCCAAGTTCTCTCCTGCCTTAACCGAGTATTGAACTCATACGCTTTGGATCTTGTCACTAGATCTAAACAACGTACCACTGTACCATGTGTCCCTGAGAGCCTCTGTGCATGAATTTCTGGGTATTATAAACCTAACGTCTTCAGCAACCATTTTTCCCAGTGCTCATATTGCAATTTTTGCTGTTATTATTGCATGTTTTTACCCTAGTGAGCAAAATAAACGGTTCGACCTTCCAAACACCTGAAGAAGGCCGGAGCGTACAACGTTGTAATAAATATGGCGACAAAGATAAGGACAATAGTCCGAATAATGTAAGTAGTGTACATAATACCTCATCTCAGAAATATAGACAAATACCCAAAATAATATCTGAAATTACCTAAATGAAAGCAAAATTATTTCTCTGTTTATTTTATTCGTTTTGTACTCTTCATTACGTACTCTTCCCGTTGTCCGTCTCAGTAGCTTCTTCACACCTTAATAAGTGAGTGGTCATAATAAACACTGGTCATGTTAAAAAATGCAAAAGTTAACAAGCGTGGGAGATGGCACCTGAACAACTGACAGTATTTATCTAACAGACTACTGTCTGTTCATATATTTCTCTGAATCATCAACGATAGAAACAATCCACTGTCACATAATAAACAGAAAAGAAAACAAACAAGAAACTCTCTTTGTCTTTTGTCTTCTTTATGTCCCCTCATGACGTAAGCTATCATGGCTCTCCACAATTGCCTGTCCCCTATAGCTATTGATAAAATTTGTCTTTCTGTTATTTCTCACAAGCTCTGTTCTGCCATCCATTTACTCAAGCTAATTAAGTATGTTCTGGTAACATGTCATATTTTAATGGGAGATCCTGCATATGCTGAATTCTCGTACAGCAAATAATGAATATATGTCTAAATATACCCTTCCATTTAATTAAGTATTCACTTCATTATTTACGTGGTTATTTGTTTGATGATATCAGCCTGAGGGGGTAAAAAATAACAGTCAACAGCTTTAGAGACTACAACGACAGAATAAAGCTCTGTCAGTTTATTGATATTCTCCTGTCTGTTTTCGTATTTCTCCTTCTCAGATCAATACATCAATCTATCAATATAAATGCCAATGTAAATCGTGCCGGTCTGATCGATATCTGTTCATCCACTCCATATCGAATTTCTCTCTGACAGAAGAAATCAGTATTGGAAAACAAAGAAAAATTAGATTTTCACATCTAAATTCCGCGAAACGTATGTATGGAACGTCTGACGCACGGATATTTGGTGTTATAGGTTAGGGGTCGGTCGTTTGAAGTTGGGAAGGTGCCGCGTGTTGAACAAAATCTAAAAGTGGTTGAGAAAATAGACGAACAAAAGCGTGAAACAAAACAAAATACAAATATTTATCCTATCGAGAACAACTTTTCGTATAGAGAAGGAACAGATATCGATCAGAAAAGTTCCTGAAAGAAAATGCGAATTCAAGGAATGTTCCTAATAAACTCTCTAAAGAATGAAGGAAAAGTTGAAGATACTCTGAATAGTCTAAGTGCACTAATTTTAGCGTCCTATCTCGATCTCGATCCGAAGTAAAAGAGGGCTAACCTCTTAGAAACTGCAGCACGCATGCACACCATACGAGTATACGCTTGCTTATATCTGGTCGTTTGAGTTATCTATCTCAATAACTATATATATATATATATATATATATATATATATATATGTGTGTGTGTGTGTGTGTGTGTGTGTGTGTGTGTGTGTGTATTTTAAAGAGTCACTAAAAATCAACATACATGATGAAAAATGGCAAAAAACCTAGTAAAAAAATAAGTTTATGCTCAAAATCTTTTGTGCTATAATTTAAGAGGAAAGACCAAAGGATTTTTGACGCAAACAATATTGTTTTACCTATTCAGGACCTTTGAAAATTTGGGTATATATATATATATATATATATATATATATATATATATATTCTCGGTATCTCCAACGTAAATACTTTCTTGTCGAATGATATTAAAAAAAAAATTTTAAAAGTACATTTGTACACTTTTTCTTACTTCCACGACAAGCATAAGCGACCAAATATCCGTCTTCTAAAGAAAAAATCATCACATTTAATTAACACAGGTTGAATTAAACAAATGCGAAGTCAAATTTTTTCCATTTAATTGGAAAATAAAAACACTGCTGTTATGATTGACAGAAAAAGCGATATTGTAAATAAATAAAATAAAAATGTATTTAAAAATATAAATAATTGCAACATCAAGACCATTTTATGGGAAATAGTTACAATCATTATTTTAATAAGTTAATTCGGGAACACAATGAAAATATTGACCATAAAGAATATAAGAAAAACTAAAATACTTTAACAATTTTTGGGTTTCAATTAATCAATAATTTTCATGACGTTCACCAAAAATATTAATAACTTTGATTATTCTGATATTTAAAGAAATATAAAATTTACTAAGCAATTATTATTTTCAAACTATCTTAAAAGCCAAAAGCTGTGCGAAATTGGAAG